GCAGTAACTTAACAAAAGGAGAAAATAAGGTTTTTAGGAGGTAATGGGTATGAAATATTGCTAGAAACAGCTCAAGAGTATTGTAGCATGAACCCTTACCCTCTTATCTGAGAAATGCCACCTCTTCAGACTCCGTGATTTTCTATTCTCCCCTATTATAGTGAAATGGCGTTTTGATTACAGAAAAGAAAAATGGTACTTGATAATCAGATCTGATGGCACAGTGGATTCTTCCAGGCACAATTTTGTAGACAATGCTTACCTAATTTCAATTTTAGAACTCTTTTGCAACACATCTCTTTTTAATACATGGTTCTTAGAAATTCGTGCAAGCCCATAAAGAATTTTAAAATGAATTGATAACATTGGAGGCCAACAGAGAAACCTTAGAGAAAAAGAGAAACTAACGGTGGAAGTTAAGACAAGAAAGCCTGTCTGCACATTAAATACTAGTTGTCTCTTTCTGGTGCGTTTCTCTGCAGAATCCTCATGAACCCATAGCCCACGTGATACAAAAAGCAGTAAACTGAGCCCTGGCTAGTGTGGCTCAATGGATTGAGTGCCTGCCTGGGAACCAAAGGGTTACTGGTTCAATTCTCAATCAGAGCACATGCCTGGGTTGTGGGCCAGGTCCCCAGTAGGGGGTGCAAGAGGGGCGAGAGGTCATCGCACATTGATGTTTCTCTCCCTTTCTTTCTCCCTCCCTCCCTCCTGTCTAAAAATATAAATAAACAAAAATCTTAAAAAAAAAAAAAAGGCACTAAACCATGAGCCTGAACACCATCATCAGTGGTCTCAGGTAGCCAAGCCTCCATTTTCCCATCTGTAAAGTGAGAATCTGGTGAAGCCTCTTTCCAATTCAAAAATGCTGTGATCCACAATGTGACTTATGCAACTTTCTCCAGGTAACTAATATTATTTTAGCTACAGAACTGAGTTTCCCTCTGGTGAAGGACTGTTTACCTTCACCCACTTCCGGTTTACGTCAAACCACTTCTGGTTTCCCAGCACCTGTTTCCGGTTTGTTGCCACCTACTCTGGTTAGCTCTCACCTACTTCCGGTGCACGTTGTCCCTTTTCCTTGGTAACCCGTAAACACTAAGTCTTGGCAAGTCCTCCCTCCCTGCTTCCTCATCTATCAAGTGTTATCTAGTGTATCGACACTTAGTTGGCTTCCTCATTTCTTCCACTTGCCCCAGTTTTCATGCGTATTTCAATCTTTCAGAAGTTTTCTTCTTTGAATAAAACTTGAGAGAAAAAAAGCGATGGAAGGGGAACTCATAGATTAAGAGGCTAAAAAGAGATTGCAAAAAATCACAGTGTATTAACCTCATTTGCATCCTGATTCAAACAAGCAGTCTTAATTTTTTTTTAAAAAAGATGTTTATGAGACAACTGAAAATTAGAACACTTAGATATTAGATCTGAAGACACCATCATTAATTATGTTGGGGTCAAAACTGTGTTGTAGTTATTTTTCAAAAAGGATCCTTATCCTTTAAAGAAGCATACTGAAATTTTTGCTGATATAGTATGATGCCTGAGGGCAGTTAGTGAGTGGTGATGCAGATGGAACAAGTTTTGACCATACATTGACAATTACAGAAATTAAATGATGGAGACGTGGGAGTTAATTATACTCATTGGCTTCTTCTTGTATAAGTTCTATAGTTTCCATAATAAAAAGTGGGGGGAAAAAGGCTTGATGGGGGTTTATCCTAACGAGGCATATGCACTGCGGTGCTGGAACGGGCTGCTCGTCATAGCTGCATAATCACTGGGGGTAAATATGGAAGTTCATCAATCAGAAAGGCTCCAGTGAGGAGCTGGCTGGCGACGGGCCCAGCTCTGTGTGGCTGTCATCTAGCCTCCAGGCCAATTTGCCCTCTATAAATAACAGCCTATATGAATGCTTTACTATTTTAATGTGCACTCGCCACAGCTGCTGAGCGTGTTTGTTTACGTAGCTGTGAGCCCTTCTGTAAACATCACTATCTCAAAATCACCCATGTGTCAGGAACATAAAGGGCCCCCTTTAAAAATATATTTGTGGGATGAGACACGCGGCCAGTTCCCAGATGTCTGGGTGGCTGGTGTCAGAATTTTCCAGGGTTTTGGATTCATTTTCAAAAATAGAATCACATGACTGGACGGTTCTTGAGAGGTCACTGTGCCCATCCCTCCGAGTCTGGGTGGGACCAGACTTGAGCCACCCACCGAGGATGCGGGTCTGTCTTTTATGAGGCCAGAGACCTCGTTAAGGGAAGGACTGGGGCCAGGGCCTGCAGGGCATTGATTTGGGCAGTATGCACACCCTGCCTGCAAGGATGTTACTTTCATTTTTTGGAAATAAGCCTGACTCTGAGCAACGAGACAAAGCAGGCCTGTTGCAGTACAGCTGGCCGTGGATCATTGTGTGTCCATGAAGAACCAAGTGACTTGGGATGTGCTGTGGGTGACAGGAAGAGGGCCGTGTATCAGAGTTGCAGTGCAGGGCTCATGCTTGAAAAAGGCCTGTTGATGGAGATCACTGATAGTGGTTTAAGGTCAACTAAGACATTTTTGAAAGGAGAAATGAGTGAAGCAGAAGCCCTTGTGGGCCAGCTTGCTGTTGTCAAAGCTCTTGACGTCCCATGCAGCCCTGCAGTGAATAATTAGACCCTTGTGAATTTGTTTTCCTCAGCATGCACTTGGTCCACCATTATTTTGTTCCTGTGACTTTGACTAATTGAAGTATTTCTTCCCCTAAGGGTCTGTTTAATGCCCATAAATACCAGTCACACGTTTTATTCACAGAGAAAAGTGTCCCTCTGAAGCTTCAGAGATCAGAAGTGCCAGAAGTACTGAACTGTATGAATCTCATCGGGAAAGGATTAAGGCATGTCCAGCTTCCAGACAAACTCAGAAGTTTCTAAACACTCTTTCTTCCACTTTCCAGAAGCTAGGAAACTATTTTTTAAAAAAGAAAATTAATAGTTGCCTTTTTCCAGGAACAGGGGTGGGTGTTATAATTTTTTTTTTCTGGCACCTACCTATTTTTTCTCTAAGAAAGCAATAGGAAGCCTGCCAGGTGCTCAGACGCAAGTATCACTGTTAATTATGGGGAAAACAATGTTCCTGTCTTTGGAAGGGCTCACTCATTACAAGCTGTCACCAGAAAGACAAGCTACGCCCCAGGGAGAATGCTGACTCAGGGACGTCACCAGGATAACTTGCTTCTTCCAGATTCATTTATTTTTCTGAGATTGGGCTTTCGTTTGAGGGAACAGCTCCTGTAGTTTGAAGCTCAGGTGAACACCACTAACCAGACGGTACCTATTTGCAGTGCCTTTTGCTTCTTGAGCTCAGAGATGCAACGATAACAAGGCTTGTCCACTGTCACCCGCCATGTCCTCTTGGGAGAGTTGTGGTGAGAGACCTAATACTACATGTGCATCACCAGGGCCAGCTGATGCTGCCAGAGGCTGCATCTCGGGGACCACCACCAGGGGGACCCTAAGTCCCTGTGCACCCCCCAGTGGGAGGAGGGCCTGGGAGGGTCTGTGGGAAATGACAGAGCTGGTGTTCAAACCATATCCTCCCTTCTTTTCTCCTCCTCTCTCCCTGCCCCTCCCCACCCCCATCATTGCTTCACAAATATATCCAAAGTCAGGCTAGAGGTACCGCTAGCCCTGTTCCCATCTATCACACTCACTTAATATTTCACGATAATAATTTTGTTATTCTTTAAACCCGTTTCCAGGTTAGGTCTATGGGAAAGAGCCCACTTAGTCCCCCAGCTCCACGCAAAGCCTGCCACTTTGCTTGTTGCTTGTTGCATTTACAAACCCACTGCAGAGGTTCCCACCACTGTGAGAGAACTTTGTTAGAGGTTATAACCTTGCCTGCTGGGGACAGGGAGGCAGAGACGTGCGACCCATGCCTGGCCTTTGAAGGGGTGACAGAGGTCAGCGGATGGGTGCATGAGGAATCTGGGGCCAGGATGATGGCCATGCATTTTCAGAGTACACCAGCCAACCCTGAGCCTCCCGTGGAAGGCTTCAATGCACAAGCAGGGCCAGTTATATAACTAAAGCGGATCCCGAGGCTGCTATCAGTACTCAGCACAGTAAAGAGATTAATGACCTTCATACGCTTCCTGGGGAGAACCACTGTTAGCTTAGGTCAGAATTTATGGCTCTGTTTTGTGGAATGTTCTAGATAAATATAGGCAGAACCTGCTTTGCTGTTGGGATGTGTAATATGTGTGAAGTTCAGCTATGAGTGAGGACTGCAATAAAAACTGACCATTTCTGTTCTGAGAACAGATCATCTTCCCTCAAACATACCCATGATTAGCTGTTGACCGCAGAAGGGTCAGTGGGGTTAGGAGTGGACCTTCCATTTCTTCTTGCTTTGCTAGAGTTGTTTCCTGCGTCTGCAGCACTGGGCCTGCTGGGAGCTCAGCAGGCAGAGTGTGGAGACAGACGCCAAGCACGCACTTGGTGTGAAAGAACCCAAACACGAGTGCCACGGGCCTTGCACACGGTTCCCAAAGATGAGGGGGAAGTACCTTTTTATTAAAGCAATTTGTCAGGCTTCCTCTGAAAGGCTTAACTTCTTCTTCCTGGCTTGGCAATGAATAACCTCAAGTCTGTAAATTAGGCCATGTTTTAGAGCCATTTAAAAAGCACTTTAGAGTTAAATGTTAAGTAAACATCTGGAATTTTAACATACATTTTATTTTAAAAATATTTTTAAAATATTTGTTATTTCATAAGCAATATTTTAAAAATATTTATTAATTTTTTTCCAAAGGGCTCTTAAAAAGCTAAATGATTAGACATCTTGGTGGAGGGACTTGGGGTCATTAGGCATAGGCGTACTCTTTCACAAAGTGAGGGGAGGGTGTCAGGGGCGAGTGAGGTTCAGTTTGCCATAGCTGCCGTAGGTAAGACCGTGAGAGCCGGTCTCCAACGAGCAAGGGCCCCACAGGTATCCCAGGATCACGCGTGTCTTACCTGTAGCCTCCACCATTCCTTCTAGGATGACCACAATTTCCAGTTCCTCTTTGGGCAGCTGGGCTTTGGAGATTTCCCAGAAGGGACTCTGTTGGTTGATTTCGTGACTGATGATGAGTGGGGACACCAGAAACAGCCGGTCATCTCCGGTGTAATACCCGACGTTGATGTCCGTCTGGTTCAAAGGAATGAACTCCCCCTCTGAGGTCTGTTTGGATTTGATCAGCTTGGCTCGGATGGAAGCCTCCACGATGTGGGAATTCCGAAGGTCCCCCACGCGAAACATCAGGCACAGCTTCCCATCCCGCATGGAGATCACCGCGTGGGTAGAGAAAACCAGGGTCTCTGCCCTCTTCTTGGGCTGTGATATTTTTACAAACATGCACCCCACCATGAATGCGTTCACAATGGACCCCAACACAGATTGGATTAAGAGGAGAATGATCCCCTCGGGGCACTTGTCTGTGATGACCCGGTAGCCGTAGCCAATGGTGGTCTCTGTCTCTATGGAGAATAAAAAAGCAGAGACGAACCCGTTGAGGTTGGTGACGCAGGGAGTCCACGAGGGGTCCTCTATGTGGTCCATGTCCCCCCGGATGTATGCGATGAGCCACCAGATCATCCCAAAGAAGAGCCACGTCACCGTGTACACCATGACGAAAATCAGCAGGTTGAACCTCCACTTGAGGTCCACCAGCGTGGTGAAGATGTCGGTCAGGTAGCGGTAGGTCTCCCGCACGTTGCCGTGGTGGACATTGCACTTGCCGTCCTTCCGCACGTACCTCTGGATTTTCCTTTTGGTCCGGTCTCGGCTGACGTGCCTGGGCAGGTCATCCCTGGCCTGCTTAGGCAACTTGGGCTGGTGAATGGCCACGGGGCTCTCCACGTCCTGATCCATGGAGTCGCCCTCCAGGACGTTAGCTGGTGGTTTGGGGAAAAGAAAAGAAAAACCGAATGAAATGCGGCCCTTGGGTGATGACGAAGGCCACGCCGGGTACGGTGTGTGGGAGTGAAGCCAGGTACCACTCATGGTAACAGAGCAGATGAAGCCGTGTCTACTTGGCGTCATCCGGACAGATCTCCAGTGGACTTGGGCTCCCTTTGTGTAAGAACTCCTCCACCCTTCCCACCAGGACAGACGCCCCCTTGCCAGTGAGTTCTAAGAGTCAGCTCTTGCACCCAGAGGTCTCCCCACCTCAGCCGAGATGCTTCGGCCCTGGGGAGGCTGCCCCCCCCCAGGGAAGAAATGCTCGGACCTGACAGTCTGGCTTCCTCCACTCAGCAGGTGTGTGCTCAGCAGGTGTGCGCTCAGCAGGTGGGCACGCTGTTCGTTATGGACTGGAGTGGGCCCCGCCTCACCCCACCAAACCCAATGTGACTGTAGTTGGAGATGGGGCCTTTAAGGGGGGAATTAAGGTTAAATGAGGTCATACGAGGAGGGTCCCTAATTCAATAGGACTGGTGTCCTTATAGGAAGAGGAGGAAACATCACACCAGGGATGAGCACACAGAGGGAGGGATGTGTGAGGGTGGTGAGGAGGTAGCCGGCTGCGAGCCGGGAAGGAAGGTCTTCCAGACCAGCCGGAGCCACCGGAACCCTGCTGGTGCCTGGATCTTACACCCCCGGCTCCCAGAACTGTGAGACAAAACATTTCTGTCACTTAAGCCCCCCCAGTGTGTGGTGCCTGCTGTGGCAGCCCCAGTAGACTTAAGACACTATCTGAAGTCACCAAGCCTCAGTTTCCACACTTACAAAGTGGCCACCGTGGAACCTAGTGTATGGGGTTGTTTTAAGGTCGGACAAAACCACATACCTGCCTGGAACAGACATGAAATAAATATTCCTCTGTCAGAAATTCTTCCTTAGCTACTTATGTTTGGGGTAAGAATTTTCAGTGAAGTCTTTATTTAAATCATCAAATTTCAGTGTTTAAAAAAAATTCTGGTTTTTGTTGGTTGATTCAATGTCAAGGTTAAACAAAGTGTGGAAAATCGCTCTTTTTAAGTGTTTACACATTTGATTGAGTTTCTGCCTTGACATTGAATCGCTGCAGTTTTGGCCTGTGGTTACTTTTCCTGAAGCCCCTGTGATGAACAAATGCACGGGTGTAATCCTCAGTTACTGATGCATTAGGAAAACTCTTCCAGAATCCGAGTATGGAGGGAAGTTTGGAACTGGTACTGTTACTATGTAAACACATATAAACCACCATATGAAGTTACTGGTTCAGCCAACTGCTGGGGATCTTTCTAGAGGGTGTAGAAGCAGTTTCTCTCCCCAGGCTTGCCTTCTGGGTCCTTCGACTCTGTCATGCACTTCTGTCCCTGGCAACGCATTTTTTCCCTGGGTCAAAGGTGAAATGCTGTCTGTTGAGAAAACGCTTATCTCATTCAGAAAACAGTTGGAACCCTGGCTGGTATAGCTCAGTGGATTGAGCTTGGGCCTGTGAACCAGAGGATCGTGGTTCAATTCCCAGTCAGGGCACATGCCTAGGTTGCAGGCCAGTTCCCAGCAGGGGACCCACGAGAGGCAACCATACATTGATGTTTCTCTCCCTCTCTCCTTCCCTTCCCCTCTAGAGATAAATAAATAAAATCTTAAAAAAAAAATCTGGGGGTGGGACTCAAGTGGTACCAACTTAATTTATGGATTAACCTTGTCCTTGGCTGGTTAGTTCCCTTACAAATCAGTCGCATAGATTTGTTTTTATCTTTCAGCTCAAGGAAGAGACAGCCTCTGGTCTGCCGAGCAGGCTCTTGGGTTTGACAGCTTCGACTTTTGACTCACTGCCCTCGATAGCCTTTCATTGGTGAGGGAGGAGCTTTACTTTCTGTTCTTCTTTGAATGGTGTCAGGACAGGAGTTGGAGGGTGGCCGCCGAGGCTGGGACAGGACAGCGAATCTAGACAGACGTGAGCTGCTGCCCCCTCACCGCCAGCGCCTCTAGAAGGCACGACATTCATGGTCCGGAGTGGCCTTGGCAGAGCTCTCCCTGCTCATTTTGCCCTGAGTGGGAACCTCAAAATATAACTTCAAGTGGGACGACCTCTGGGCTCAGCCCTTCCAGGTGGGGGGGCCTTTTCTGTGCGCCTGGTGCATGGTCTCACTCTGCCCCGGGGAGCGCTCTCACTGTGCAAAGCTGCCCTAAGCCCTTCCCTACTGAAGTCCTTCAGCAGAAGAAGGTGCTTGGTCAGATTGGCTCCCTTTTAACAGTCTTCAGTGCTATTTCATGCTTGAAAATGTCACCGAGGGAATCTACATCCACCCCCACAACCCACTTTGAAGCTGCTTTCCCCCTTTTTCTGGCTCGGCTATAACCTCCAAGCTCCAGGCGTCTGTCCTGAGCTGGCGGGACCTGTTGGAACAGTGAATGAGACAGTGCTGGGACTGTGACAGTAAATCCTCCAAATCTGTTTCCCCTTTTCTAGCTCAGGACTGGAGCACGTTTGCTGGCCTCCTTTGAGGGGTGGCCATGTACTGAATCCTGGCCTGTCTGGAACAGGTGTGCCCTTCTGGCCTTAAACAGTGTCTGTCCCCCTTTCATGCCCCAGCCCTTCTGCGGGGGGCAGTGATAAGGGGCTCACGTGACATACCCCCCCCCCCCCCGAAAGCTCTTGTGCAACTGAGAGTCCCTAGTGGTCTGTCAGACACAGCTCAGTTTCCTTGCACTTTTCTCCCCCCCACCCCATGGATCAAGGACATGGTAACTGTGCTGTAACACTCTTGAGTAGAGGGGGCAATCTAACACGCAGGCTACTTTGCCATGTGAGGTCCATGGCTGAGCTTTGAAAGGACCCCACTGGGCAGGCATTTCTCTGGCAGGAAGTCAGCAACAAGCTGAAAGACAATGTGGAAAGAAAGGCAAGGAAGACACCAGTGAGATCAACCCTGTATCTGTTTTGGGTGGAGAGCAGGATGGGTTTGCTCAATGAGGGGATACTCTGTGCTTTCTTCCCAGCAGACAAAGGCTGGGGTGTTGGGGCCCTCAAAGAGAGGGAACTGTAGGTGTAAAAGTCTCGGAGGCACCAAACGGCTTTGTTTGGGGAGAGCAGAGATGGTGGCAGAAGAGCGCCTGGCTAGAGCCTGCAGACCGCTGTGCCAGACTGAGGGGACTGGCCTTAAACTTGGGGGTGGTGTGGTCAAACATTTCACATGTTTTAGAAGGACCCCTACGGAGGGCCGTGGGACGGAGTAGGGATTAGAGACAAGCGTTGGTAAGCATTTTGTGTAAAAGGCCAACAGTGAATGTTTTAGACTTTGCAGGCAACATGGGCCTCTGTTGCCCATTTTTTCCATTTTATTAAAAAAGTTTTACAACTCTTAAAAAATGTAAAACTATTCTTAGCTCATGGGCAGTGCCAAAATAGGCCATAGGCGGGATTTGACTTCAGGGCTGCAGTTTGCTGAACCGCAGACCAAAGCGATGGCCGTTAGAAGGAGAAATGAGCCAAAGCAGCCCCCGCGAGGGTGAAGGCGGGGCAGTGAGTAGGGAGCAGAACTAGCGGCAGGAGGAGGGCCGGCCGGCCAGCTGGGTGGGTGAGGCAAAGAGCACTGAGCATGATGCTGGCTTGGGCTGGTTCAGTTTGGGGCGTCCACTGACACGCAGGAGAACTCTCCCGTGGGAAATTAGGTATGTGGGGCTGGAGCTTATCAGTGACCTGACCAGTCCTGAGTGGGAGGTCCTCAGTGCATTGGAGGGGGAGTTGTAATCACAGGTGTGGGTGGAGGTGCTGGAGGGCGTGCGCAGAGGGAGAAGAAATGTAGAAGGCAGGATCCTGGAGAACAGTTACATGAAGAAGCCAGCAGTGGAGGAGTGAGAGGAGGTGCCGAGAGGGATGCAAGAGAGAGGGGAGGAGGAGGAGAGAAATGGGGCGGGGCCAGGCGCGCCCCGCATCTCAGGGGACAGGCATGGGGTGCTTTTTAACACTTGCCCACTTGGGAGAAAAATGATGAGTCCCTTCCTTATTTCTTATGTAAGAATGAATTCCAAGTGAATTAAAACTTTAAATGCAAAAAAGAAAAAGAAAGATTACAGGAGTAGGGATGTATTTTTATACTTCTAAAGGTTGGGAAGCCTTTCTAACCATGACAGGAATCCAGACACTACTTTCAAGCACTGATATTTTTCTCAATATAAAAATTTTAAATATTGGTAAAGAAAGTAAGAAGGCAAACCAGGAAAAATGTTCCTGATTTACAAAAGCAATGAACATCCCCTAGGAAAAAATGATGAGAGGAAATGAACAAGGAACTGATAAGCCAAGACATGCACGGAGATAAGAAGCTTCTGGAACCACTGTTCAACCACGGCCAAGTGAAAGTGATGCAAATACAATCACATTTTTCTACCCTGAAGTCAGCAAAATGAAAAATACACAGCAAATGCAGTGCCAAGAGGGTGTGTGGGGAAGGCAGAGTGTCTGGGGGGCAGGGTGGCGGCAAGTGTCATAATGCAGAAGTGATTAGATGTCTTGGATTAGAGTCTAGACATTTACTCCAAGGGAATAATTTCACAAACGTCCATCAGCTGCAGATAGGGCTACATGGCAACCTCTCTCACAGCAGTGAAAAACTAGATACAACCTCAGGATCTACCAACAGAGCACTAGTTAAACACATTTTTGCAGATGTAATCCATGGCACACTATGTAGTCATGAAAAATGATTTCCCAGTGTTTTGGGGTCTTTACCTCTCTGTGCAAAGATCACCTTCTTAATGATGCCAATATTTATCCCCCTTCAGAAACGGTAATCACAGCTGCCCAATTCTGAGGTCCCCCTTTTTGTACCACCATGTACATCTTCATTGCTCTTTCCACTTTCCAACATGGGAGCTTATTTACTGTTTTGATTTTTGTTGGCCCCTGTGGGAGGGGCTGTTCCTCAAGGGCAGGGATTTCTGTGTGTTTTATTCACAGATG